GTGGTAGTGGTAGTAGTAGTTTTCGTAGCAGTCGTGGTAGTTGTCGTAGTGCTTGTTGCAATCGTCATAGTCGTAGTTGTGGTAGTAATTCTGGTTTTCGTAGTATTATTACTACTAGTAGTAGTAGTAGTAGTAGTAGTAGTAGTAGTAATAGTAGTAGTAGTAGTAGTAGTAGTAGTAGTCCTGGTAGCAGTCGTAGTACTAGTACCAGTACCAGTAGTAGTAGTAGTAGTAGTAGTAGTAGCAGGGTTCTCTTAGTCGTAACCATGGTCGCGGTAGTAGTAGTAGTAGTAGTAGTAGTAGTAGTAGTAGTAGTAGCAGTACTAAAAAATACTCGACGTAGTAGTGATTGTGGTACTAGTAATAGTAGGAATAGTCGTTGTACTCGTAGTAGTTCTAGTAGTCGTAGTATTAGTAGCAGCCGTAGGAGGAGTAGGAACAGTAGTCGTAGTAGTAGTAGTAGTAGCAGTAGCAGCAGTAGCAGTAGCAGTAGTAGTAGTAGTAGCAGTAGTAGTAGTAGTAGTAGTAGTGGTGGTAGTGGTGGTAGTATTCTTTGTAGTCATAATAGTCGCAGTAGCGGGTTCCATTGTAGTAGTAGTAGTAGTAGTATGGGTAGTAGTCGTAGTCGTAGTACGAGCAGTAGTCGTATATGTAGTAGTAGTGGTAGTAGTAGTAGTAGTCGTCGTCGTCGTAGTAGTAGTAGTAGTAGTAAGCAGTGTAGTAGCAGTGGTAGTAGTAGTAGTAGTCGTAGTCGTAGCTGGGGTAATAGTAGTAGTAGTAGTAGTAGTAGTAGTAGTACTAGTACTAGTAGTAGTATCCGTCGTAGTAGTAGTAGTAGTAGTAATAGCAGTAGTAGTGGTAGTAGTAGTAGTGGTAGTAATAGTAGTACTACTACTACTAGTGGTGGTAGCAGTAGTCGTAGTAGTAGTAGTCGTCGCCGTCGTCGTCGTAGTGGTAGTCGTAGCCGTCACCGTCGTAGTAGTGATGGTAGCCGTGGTCGTATCCGTTGTAGTAGCAGTCGCAGTTGTAGTAGTAGTAGTAGTAGTAGTAGTAGTAGTCGTCGCAGCAGTAGTAGTCGTAGCCGTAGTAGTATCAGTAGTAGTAGTCGTCGTCGTCGTCGTTGTTGTAGTAGTCGTAGTAGTGATAGTAGTAGTCGTAGCAGTAGTTGTAGTCGTATCACTTGAAGTAGTTGTAGTAACCATCGTAATAGTAGGAGTAGTAGTAGTAGTAGTGGTAGTAGTAGTAGTAGTAGCAGTACTAGTAAAAGTCGCATCAGCTTCAATAGAAGTAGTCATAGTAGTCGTAGTGCGTTTAGTAGTAGTAGTAGTAGTAGTAGTAGTAGTAGTGCTAGTAGTTGTAGGAGTAATCGTAGTAGTTAGAACAGTTTTAGTAGTCGCAGTAGCCGTAGTAGTAGTAGTAGTAGTAGTAGTAGTAGTAGTAGTAGTAGTAGTTAGAGTAATAGTACTACTAGTAGTAATAGTAGTAGAAGTGTCGGTGGTGGTCTTAGTACTCATGATATATGTAGTAGTCGTAGGGGCAGTCGCCGTCTCAGTCGTAATCTCAGTCAGCTTTGTAATCGTAGCCGTAGGCGTAGTCGCAGTGGTAGAGGTAGTCGTAGTCGCACTCGTAGTCGTAGTTGTAGACGTAGTCGTAGTAGTAGAAGTAGTAGTGGTAGGAGTGGTAGTAGTAGTAGTAGTAGTAGTAGTGGTGATGGTAGTAGTAGCAGTCGTCGTTGACGTAGTCGTAATCGTAGGGGTACTATTATTTGTAGTAGTAGTTGTAGAAGTAGTGGTAGTAGTCGTGGGGGTAAAGGTAGTAGTCGTACAAGTAGTAGTAGTAGTAGCAGTAGCAGTAGCAGTAGTAGTAGTAGTAGTAGTAGTAGTAGGTAGTATGCGGGGTAGTAGTACGGGTAGTGGCAGTAGTAGTGGTAGTAGTAGTAGTAGTACTAGTAGTAGTCGTCGTAGTAGTAGTATTCGTGGTAGTAGTAGTAGTACTAGTAGCAGTAGTAGTAGTATGCGTAGTATGCGTATTATGCGCAGTAGTAGTAGTAGCAGTAGTAGTAGTAGTCGTAGTAGTAGTAGTAGTAGTAGAGTAGTAGTAGTAGTAGTATGCGTCGTAGTAGTAGTAGTAGTAGTAGTCGTAGTAGTAGTAGTAGTAGTAGTAGTCGTAGTAGGAGTAGCAACATTAGTCGTAGTAGTAGTCGTAGTCGTTGTCGTTGTCGTTGTCGTAGTAGTAGTAGTAGTAGTAGTAGTAGTAGTAGTAGTAGTAGTAGTAGTCGTAGTAGTAGTGGTAGTCGTAGTAGTAGTAGTAGCAGGAGGAGGAGGAGGAGGCGTAGTAGTCGTAGTAGTAGTAGTGTCAGTAGTCGTTGTTGTTGCAGACGCGAGCACCTCTGAAGAAAGAGTATGAATTTACAATGGATTAACCGCGTCTTGTAGTACTTGTAGTTGTAATCGGAGTTGTAGAAGTAGTGGTAGTAGTTGTAGACGTCGTAGTTGATGTC